TTGCACCAATCCTTTCTGACACTGTACTAACAGGTACAAACCTCCTCCACGTAGTGTCATTTTCCGAGAGCAGAACTCCTGTCTATTCCAGGTCTGGCCATGACACTTAGCATGGTCTAGTAGTAGTCAGGAAGTCCCACCCTAGAGCTAAGGTTGAAAATGCAGATGTGGGCCGAGTACAGTGGCCCACACCTGTCATCCAAGCACTTTGGGAGGCCGAGGCGGGAGGACCACTTGAGGCCAAGAGTTCAAGATCAGCCTGAGCAACATACTGTGACCCTGTCTCTACAAAAAATAGAAAAAATTAGCCAGGCATGGCGGTGCCTGCCTGTACTCCCAGCTACTGGGGAGGATGAGGCAAGAGTCCTAGGCTGCAGTAAGCTATGTTGATGCCACTGCACTTTAGCCCTGTAGCCCAGGCAACAAAGCAAGACCCTGTTGGAAGGAGGGGAGGGGAGGTCAGCTACGTTGCAAAAACCCTAAGAATTTGCTCACCCCCGAGTGTCCCATGGACTGGTGATCTTTAATACCTGCTCAGCTGGGTCAAGGCTGAGAAGCGCCACAAAACCATGCATGTCCATCACACAAAGTGTGACTGGCATCCCACACATGGACCTCAGGGTCCGCTCACTTCCTGCTTTACCCTTGAATCGGAGAGTGCCAGCTGTCCCCAAACGCCATTCTTCCTTCCTTAGCAATGGAAACTTCTTTTGTTTTCAATTAGCTACACTGTCCTGTTCACAGCTGGGCTGCCCAGGATAAATGCTAGCCAAAGACATGTGAGGGGACACTGTGAGCACCTTCCATTAACAGCAAGGTCCTTGCAGCTGGGGCCTTCACCTTTTTTGAGTGTAGCCCACACTCTGCAGTCTGGGAAAGCCCACGGCTCCTTTCAGCAAAATATTTTAAAGTACATAAAACATACAAGATCACAAAGAAAAACTAATTATATTGAAATGGAATGGTCACAGCTGAAGGAAACATTTCAGTCAGAGGTTAGTGAACAACCTAATTTTTCACTATCCAAGTTCACACCTCTGAGCCCTATATGTGAAATGGAGAAAGTCTCCCCTTTGCCCTCTCCTCTTTCCTGCTACCTGGGATGAGGATGAAATGGCTAGTTTGGTCTATGAAGCCAAAAAGGAGCCCTGGTCTCTTACAACCATGGAACCAAATACCAGCACCAGCCTCCCCCACCTGTACGAGAATGGATGCCAGCTCACTAAACCAAGAGCGTTAATCCTCAGAACAAAACACTCTTTGCAATTTCAGGGACACCCAAGAGGGGAAAGTCACTTGGCAGAGGATCGTCAATTATCCCCAAGCACCGAGGATTAAACAACCCAGCTCTAGCTGGATTACAGCACAGAGACAGCCACCCGCGCCGATTATTAAATGAAGCCAGGGAAGCCACTTGGCGGCGTGCGAGGGAAGCACTCGCTGCTTTGGGGAGCACAGAGTTGACGAGATCCTTCACCAGGCTCCTCTGGGGTTTGCAGGGGTTGAGCAGCCGCTGCAGAGTAGAACCTTAGATGCTTCACATGCCAGGATGGGATTGTTAATCTGCACGGGAACTGCTCTTGCAACACCCCCTCTTGGGACAGACACCCCATGTTATAAACTGAAGTGCGGCCCCCACCAAACTCATATGCTGAAGCCCTAACCCCCAATGTGAGTGTATTTGGACATAGAGCCAGTAAGCAGATAACTGAGGTTAAGTAAGGTCATAAGGGTGGGGGCCCTGACCCCATAGGACTGGTGTCCTTGTAAGAAGAGAGAGGGACACCAGGATGCATGTGCACAGAGGAAAGGCCAGGAAAGACACAGAGGGAAGGCAGCTGTCTGCAAGCCCAGGAGACAGGCCTCACCAGAAACCAACCTGCCAGCACCTTGATCGTGACATTTCAGCCTCTAGAACCGTGAGAAACGTTTGTTGTTGAAGCCACCCAGTCTGTGGTCCTTTGCCATGGCAACCCAAACAGACTAACACACCCTGGATACCCAGACAGACGTGCGCTTCTCACCTCTCTCGCCGATGGCATAAGAGGTGGGGGTGGGATGGGGGGACGCACGTCAAACCATCCTCTACTCGAAATTGCTAAGACTCTGTTCTGGAACACACACAGGTGGATGACAGTGCTGTCCCCTGACAACTGCCTAAACATTACAGCCACTGCGGAAACAGAAGCCCACCCAGCCAGCCGCCCACACACAGTCACTACTAACCACAGACCACACGACTACCAAGTACCCAATGTGGACGTGCTGACACTTTTCTTCAGAGATTCCAGCTGTAGATTCTGGATATGTCCCTAACTTGCCAAAGATACCAAATAATAAAATGGTTTAGTTTCTAGAAAACGGTATGAGTGAAAACAAAAACAATCGAAATCCCTGCCATCGGCGGATCTTGAGCATGTTCGAGGGAATGTTGTCACTAAATAGGCACAAGCAGGGCCAGTGAAGTCCTCAAAGACAGCAAACAGCTGTGGGAGACCCAGAGACCACGACCCACAAGGCCCTTCAGGGCAGCCGACAAAGCAAACCATGTTTACCTGACATGCTGGGACCTCAGCCCAGGGAGCAGGGACTCCCAGAAAGCAGAATGTTAGCTACGCGCCGGGGTGCACAGGTGCCCAAGGCCCCATGTAAGGTGCCGGGGGAGGCACCTACAAAGCCTGGTACTCACGGCCACCACGCAGGAGCCATTGTCCTTTTGAAAAAAACATTGCTCATATGTAAAAGAACAGTGTCCTTTGGTGTAGCTATGCCTCAGCCAGAATGAAGTCTGATCCATCTACAAGGCACCACCTACACAGAGATAGTGTCGTAGATGCTAGAAAGACAGGGCATTAAACAACAGCAAGTCTTAGAAGGTGGTTTCTCTTTTTTCCTTCTCCAATCCATTTAATGCCTTTGAGTTTAGCACTAGGCTACCTTCAACACCTTTCTAACGCTTACACACTGACCGTCTCTTTTTGGCATATGAAAATTTATTACTACTGTGTTTTTACTACCAACATGTATGGTCTTGATCTTTCCTTCTTTTCTTTGAACAGGGCCAAAAAAAAAAAAAAAGACACTGGCTACTTTGGTGCCTTAAAGCAGACTCCAGGAATGTCACCAACAGCATGACCTTTGCAATCAAACCTAGCAGCCAGAATTTAATCCTTTTCCTCAATAAAGTTCAAGCAACCATCATTGGGTTCAAGGGTTGTGATTTCTTGCCGTTCTTGATCTGCTGGACCCTGATACACTTCCTGGTGGTCGTGTGGCTTCAACCCCTACTTTTTCTAGCACAATCCCCTTTGCATGAGAAGTACCTGCAAAAGGGTTGGCCTTCAGGCTGTGCCGAAATGAGCTTTAAATGCCACTTCAGTCCCCTCAGTGGTTACAGAGCCTCCTGGCAGTACGAGGGCCGAGACGCTTGCCCATCCTGGCGGGGCCACGGGCCTGGGCCACGAACAGCAGCAGCCCCGTCTCCCACAACGGCAGGGGGTCTCCGTGAGAAGCTGGGACAGGCAGCAGCAACAGCCAGGTAGACTTCACGACAGTTTCCTTCCACTGCCTTTACTTCGCAGCTACCCGTTACTTAAGTCAACTAATGGTGACTCTCCATTTACAGTAATGAGATAAAGTTACCTTTTTAAATAAAGGCATTCAAGTTTTTTTTAAGTGCATCATTAAAAATGAAACAAGGTACAGAGTAAGTAAACGAATGAAATTTGAAAAACAGCTACGTTTGAAAAACCCTAAGAATTTGCTCACCCCGAGTGTCCCATGGACTGGGTGATCTTTTAATACCTGCTCAGCTGGGTTCAAGGCTGAGAAGCGCCACAAAACCATGCATGTCCATCACACAAAGTGTGACTGGTCATTCCCACACATGGACCTCAGGGTCCGCTCACTTCCTGCTTTACCCTTGAATCGGAGAGTGCCAGCTGTCCCCCAAACACCATTCTTCCTTCCTTAGCAATGGAAACTTTTTGTTTTCAATTAGCTACACTGTCCTGTTCACAGCTGGGGCCGGCCAGGGATAAATGCTAGCCAAAGACATGTGAGGAGACACTGTGAGCACCTTCCATTAACAGCAAGGTCCTTGCAGCTAGGGCTTCACCTTTTTTGAGTGTAGGCCCAACTCTGCAGTCTGGGAAAGCCCACGGCTCCTTTTCAGCAAAATATTTTAAAGTACATAAAACATACAAGATCACAAAGAAAAACTAATTATATTGAAATGGAATGGTCACAGCTGAAGGAAACACTAAAAATTTCAGTCAGAGGTTAGTGAACAACCTAATTTTTTCACTATCCAAGTTCACACCTCTGAGTCCTATATGTGAAATGGAGAAAGTCTCCCCTTTGCCCCTCTCCTCTTTCCTGCTACCTGGGATGAGAATGAAATGGCTATTTTGGTCTATGAAGCCAAAAAGGAGCCCTGGTCTCTTACAACCATGGAACCAAATACCAGCACCAGCCTCCCCACCTGTACAGAGAGATGGATGCCCATCTCACTAAACCAGAGCTGGTTTACTTTGTTCCGTAAAGCCATTCAAACCGACTCTTAATTGCTACAGATCTAATACTTTTTCTGGGTAACGAAGCTGGAAACAGTTAAAACCTGATCATTAGCAATGTTTAATCACCTTAGAGAGAGACACTCTTCCTTACCTACAAAAACAGTCCCTCCAGAGTTACAAGGGAAACCCAAATAGAACAGTTCCTCTGTAGCTGAGGCTAACCCCGAAACCTTGGACCACAGAAGTCTACCTCAGTGCTGCTCCGCCCCTGAAGCACATCCGTTAGAGCATGCACACGCAGAAGGAACACACGTTCACCTTGGTTCCAGAAGGCTACAACCACACACACCTTCACGTCCAACCAGGTACGCACACACCTCGCTTTATCCCATAGCCGTGTGGAAGCAAGCACAAAGGCACTGCCATGATATGCTGCCCAGACGTCACCCCAGAGCTGGCGGAGGTGGCTCAGAAAGTACTTACTAATTGTCATCGACTCTGGCACCGAGGCAGAAGGTAACAGGCTGCTGAGGGGACTTCCTTGGCCTGGAGAACTGGCTTCCACGCTAGGAAAGAGCAGGCAGAGGAAGTTACGCTTGACCACTGAATATGCACAACCTTAGTTTTTGTTCTAAAAACTAGCAGGTGGTAAGTTTATTTGGGCACATCTACTAGAAGAAACAGAAGGCAGTCATGTGAAATTAGTCAATCCTCATTATTTGTATATCCCATAAATGCAAATTCATCTACTCACTAAAATTTACTTGTAACCCCAAAATCAGCACTCAAGGCACTTTTGCAATCATTCATGACTGCGCAGAGAAGCCAAAACTTTGAATCACCCAGTGAGCACGCCCCCAGATGAGGTCAAACAAGGCAACATTCTGCCTTCTTGTTTCAGCTTTCATCCCATCAACAAGTGTCCTTTGTGCAGTCTATATTTAGTGCCACATTTTTAGCATTTTTTCACTTTTTGTTGGTGATTTTGTTGTTTAAAATGTCCCACAAGCACAATGCTGAAGTGCTGTCTAGTGTCCCTAAGCGCAGAAGGCTGTGACGTGCCTCGTGGAGAAAACCTGTGTGTTAGGTCAGCTGTGTTCCCTTGTGAGTTATGGTGCTGCTGTCCGTGAAGTCTATGCTAATGAATTAACAACATACATGAAATTAGGTGTCTTCAAACGGGAACAGACATAAAACCAGGTTGTGCATTGATTGATAAAAATGCTGTGACCAGAGGCTCAAGCAACCCGCCTTGTATTTGCCCAGGAGCACTGGTCCAGCCTTCACGGCAACAACAGAACAGAACTTTTGCAAATAATGAGAATTGACTGTATATTTACAAAGAATTTGCAACGTGAAAAAATTACACTTCACATCTTTTGTAAAAACAGCAGGCCATCATCATACAGTTAACACACACACGCACACCATGCATACACATACATCACACGCACACACACATATACACACGCAGACACATATACCCTGACTAGAGAATAAAAGTACCAAATATCAACAACATGATGGAGTTGGGGCTAAGAGTGATACTTTTTGAATCACTCTCCATTTTCCAAATTTCTAAAATACACAGCAAAAAAAGGACTCAGACCCTGAAGGATCTGGTTGCACCAATCTTTCTGACACTGTACTAACAGGTACAACTCCTCCATGTATGTCATTCGAAGAGCAGAACTCCTGTCTATTCCAGGTCTGCCATGACACTTAGCATGGTCTAGTAGTAGTCAGGAAGTCACCCTAGAGCTAAGTTTGAAAATGCAGATGGGCGAGTACGTGGCACAACCTGTCCTCCAAGCACTTTGGGAGGCTGAGGCGGGAGACTTGAGCAAGAGTTAAGATCACCCTGAGCAACATATTGTGACCTGTCCTACAAAAAATAGAAAATTAGCCAGGCATGGGTGCTGCCGTACTCCAGCTATCGGGAGGATGAGGCAAGAGTCCCTAGGCTGCAGTAAGCTATGTTGATGCCACTGCACTTTAGCCTATAGCCCAGGCAACAAACAAGACCTGTTGGAAGGAGGGAAGGGGAGGGAGGGAGGGGAGGGAGCGAGGGGAGGGCCAGGGGAGGGAAAAGAAAAGAAAGAAAAGAAAGAAAGAAAGAAAGAAAAAAAGAAGAAGAAAAAGAAAAGAAAAAAAGAAAAGGAGGGAGGAAATGCAGATGTGATAGATCCCTGGGACCCCAAATTAGAAACATAAGGAGAGAAGAATAAAACCAGTAAGAGCAGCAAGGATGCTGGTAGCATCAGGGAGACATAAGCATCCAATGACTTTGGGTAACTCAGTTTTCCCTTGACATACTTTTATTTGAAAAAAGAAGAACAAAATCTATATACTGCTTACTATATGCCAGACAGTATACTAAGCACTTCACAAATATATAATATCTAAGTGGCTTAAATTTTATATAACACTAGGATTGTTAAATATTATTTTCAAATAACAAATATTAAAGAAAATAATAATAGAGGAGGTACTCAGATATGACCCATAAAGCACAAAAAGTAAAGGCTGTATGCAAATGAAGTCTGACAACTACTATCCCCTGTACACTCCCTCTGAGAGAAAGATGATCTACAACCATGGCAATTGCACATTCTGTGATGGAAAAACTAAACCGGAACATAAATAGGAAGTGGGCCTTGCCCTTTAATCCCAGCAGGTACCCTATGTTTTAAAAAGAATCAAGTGCATAGCTGTGACTAGCACGTTCAATCCCAAAGGCACCCTGGCTCTCAATATTAACCTGTACCGAAGCCCGGACTCCGGGAGGACGTGGTCCTCTGGTCCCGTCCCGTTCTCCAGGCTTCCGAGGGCAGCATCTGTGCACAGACGGCAAGCAAGGGAGAAGGTCAGATTTTTGTTTTCATTCAATTTTCTCCACGAGACAAGGACACAATGCAGACGCTGGCTCATCTGCTAAACCGGTTGACTTAGAAAATTTTCCCCGCCTCATCTGCACACCGAATTGTAATCCACTACCTGTTTCATTTTTTTAGACATTATCTCAGATTTGGCATCAGTCACTGATCGAAGGCCCCATACTTCCCCTTCACCTGTAGGCTTTTTGACCTCGGACCTGGAATTATGCATGAAGTCCATATTCAGAGCCAACCTCAGAATCAGGGAGTAATAGGCCAGCTCTGTTAGACAAAACTGCGCCTGCTTGTGGTGGCTCGAGTCAGACACTAGAGGGCAGCATGGTCTAATCACCGACAATGCCTGCTGCTTTTGGAAAAAAGCCACTTTACCCTGTATTAAGTGGCATTTGGGAAAGGCATTCACAAGAAGTGAGGCCATAAATAGCCTTTAAAACTAACAAGTAAGAGACACTAACAATTTTCATAAATGTATTAGCTGTCATTCCAGTCTCCTTCCAGGGAAAAGTGCAAACCCAAGAGCCAGTCTTCCTTGGTTGAATGGTTGCTCATTCAAGAAACGTTATCTGTCAGTGCCACTATAGAACCAGCCCTGTGTCGGGGACAGGGGACACAGACAGGGAGGGAGCAGGTCTTGTTTCCCTAATCCGTCCCCCACGCCATTCCTCTGATGCCTGCATTAGTCACATCGTGACCTCCCAGCTCTGTTGGCTTTATTTTTAGGGAAACTTATCAGGAAAAAAAATGTTTTTTAACCTTTTCTTCTATCCTGCTGTCCACAGCAAGCTATTCTACTCCTAACTCTCAAGAAGTTTGAAGGGGAAATAAAAAGTGTTACTTTTCCACCTCCCCCTTCCTCGCTACATAGTATCCGGGTCCGTTGAGGGGTGCAGGCTCTGTCTGACTGCCTGGGCTCACGTCCCTGCCCCCAACAGTAATTCAGCAAGTGCCCCAGCCTCGCTGTGCATCAGTTTCACCACCTATGAAATGGGGTGGCACTCCTGCCTGGCATACAGCATCAGTGCCTACCACACAACTAAACGTCACATCCTAACAAGCGCAAAACTCAGTGACAGCCGGCAGCAACTCGCTCCATAACCCTGGTTAAGTCGGGTTCTCGTACTCCCCGCCACGCCTCCTACTTGGAGCTCTCCCTCTCAGCCGTCCTAGCACCGTTTCTTTGGCCCTCCTCCCTCACCATCTGTTCTCTGATTGCTGAGTGAAGGCATCTTTGAATCGTGGCTCCAGCTCTTAGAGCCAATCTTCACTACGGCTCTCACCCCTGTGAAGATGGAACTTGCAAGCCCTCGCCGTGGCTGGGACCTCGGTCCTGAATCCTAGTCACACATTTTTAACCACCTGCCAGAAAGCTCTACTGCGGCACCCCAGTAGGCTGGGCCGACCTTCAGAGCCACTCGTCTAACGTCCTGCTGGGCTGTCAGCTCAGGAGAGCGTGGCACCACCCACCCCACCACAGAACCAGGTGGGACCCACGACTTCTCAGTGCCACCGACATTATCTCCCACCCTTTCCTCACAAGCTGTGTCCACTGCGCCACAGTTCAAAGGCCCCATACGCCCACACAGCCTTCTGCAGCAGGTCCCTCCATTCTGTGTCCCCCTTGCTAATCTAACCGACACATGGCTGACAGATGCCATTCCCTGAAGCAAAGACAGGGACCCCAACACACACAGTGGCAATTCACAGCTGGAGTAAAGGCCAACACCCTCCACTCAACATGACGCCCACTCGGCCCCAGGTGACTCCCCACTGGCCCCTTCACACGGCACAGCCATGGCACAACCACGGCACAGCCAGGATGACCACTTGCATCTGAAGTGAGCCAGACACACTGGGGTGCACAAGCATAGACTGTCTCATCCCTTTGGCCCCCTGAGATCGGAACTGCTATTATCTTAATTTCACAGATGAGGAAACAGACCCTGAGACTATAAGTGACATGCCCAAGGTCACAACTAACAAGCACAAGGATGCAAACCCTGGTCTGCCCAGTGGGAGAGCTGAGCCCTGTCCCACTTCAGCTCCCAGGCTCTCATCTGGCTGATCTGAAATACCTGCTTCTCCCTCTACACCTCCTGGCGCTCCTGCCCCTAGGCCTTTGTCCACACTGTGTCCTCTGCCCACATTACCATGTTTCCAATGCCGTGTATCCACTCCCTACAGCACCCGCTGCTCTCCACCCACTGCATCCACCCACCCATGCAGCAAAGGTTTGCTGAGCCCCAGCTGTGGGCCTAGCACTGGCTGAACATGGCACTGCCCAGGGTCACACTGGGAGCTAGACAGACATGGACCTGCCCTCATAAACGTCACAGATGTGTAGGGGGAACAGGTTCTGTCAAGCCATTGCAGAAATGCACCATTCCAAGCTGACATCAGAGCAACACAGACACACAAGGTTTATGACCACATGAAACACAGGCCCGACCTGTCTGAGGAGGTGTCAGAGGAGCCCTCTCAAAGGAAGCAATACTTGAGTTGTGACCTGAAGGATCCACAGAGGGGTGCAGAAGGCAAATGCAGAGAGAAAGGGCACAGTTCTGTGTGAGGAAGTGCAAGCAGGCTAGTGTGGCTGCCAGGGCCACCACGCAAAGAGGAAATGGAAGGAGATGAGAGTACAGGGTTAGCTGGGGCCCATGTGGCCACAGTGAAGATTCTGGATTTTATCCTAAGAGTAGTAGAAGGGTTTGGAGCAGGGGAATGATGCAATCTGGTTTATACTCTAAAAAATCATTCTGACTGCTAAACAAAGAATGCCCAGGGGTAGGGGATGAGGGTAGACGCTGATAGTGTGTTGAGAAGCTATTTTGCAACAGCTCAGGCAGGAGACGACAATGAGTAAGAATAGAGTGGTAAAAGCAGTCATTCCTTTCTCTATCAGTTATTGAGATGAAGTCCCCTATGCCCCCTTGCATGCGTCCAGGTGGGATGCATCTTCGCATCCCCAGAGCCCAGCACGACGCCTGGCACTCGGCAGGAGCAGGAGATGATTAATAAAGAAACCACGAACCCCAAGCGGCACACAGCCGACCTACGTGGGCTGGGAACGCAGTGCCCTGCCAGCCACCAAAATACCATGACATTCAAAACAATAAAACTCTAGGAGCCAAGCATTAAAGTCAAACACATCAGGTCAGGGCAGTGCCACCGCACAGTCCCTCCTCGACCTCGGGGAGCAAGGCCACAGACCCAAGGTTAGGACATGAGAAACTGAAGAACTTGAGACTCAGAGAAAGGGCTTGAGGACCTGAGGTTTCAAATGAACCTAAGAAGGCCCTCAGAAATTGGCGGTGCATTTACTGAAACCCAGCACTAAAGACAGGACCCTCAATGAAAAGACAGGCAACCACGTTGCTGTATCTCAAATGAGTGGTAACCGTGTTCTCTCACCTCCATCTATTATTCTCCCACAAGAGAAACTTTAGGAGCTCTCCCCTTTCCTGCAGCTTCAGAGACCTCGGTCAATTTGCTTTGCTCGGTTGTAGACAACACGCACATGCAAAGGAATCGCTATTGTGTCCAATCTTCCATCTGCTTGTCTGGGGTTTTGTGTTGTGATCTGAGCTGGCATCCATCGCGCCTGTCTGACTCGCTCCCTAACCCCAGAAATGCAGTTCAAGTCACACCCCTAAACCACACAACTGCCTCTTTTAAGATTCAGAAGGATAAAAATGCCTTTCAAGGTTCTCGTTTCTCTCTCCCTCCAAGACTTAGCTGCAAAAAACACCCCTGCCATGAGCCTCTTCCCTTTCAGCCTCTGCCTCCTACTACCTCTAACTCCCCCAGTGGCAGGGACTGCAAAAGCACCAACACCTCCAAAGATGACTGAAAAGTCTCCTAAGGTCTTGACAAGCCCTCTATGCGTAAAGTCATCATTCAAGGACAAACGGCTCCTCAGCCAGAACGAGGGGGAGGTGGGAACGCCGCTATGGTCAGAGGGTGTCCATCAGAAGGGACACCAGGCAGAGACGGAACGAAAGAAAAGGAGTCCCAGACAGAGATGCTGGCAGTGTCTGCCTGGCAGGCCGGGCTTGGCACCACCTGGTCCCACACCTCCACGCAGATGGAACATCGGGCCAGGAGGGACTGGGCGTGACTTGGCGTTCCAATCAGGTCACCAATTTCCCCTAGATCCGATTCCAGTACCTCCATGCGGCTCTAGAGCCACAGCGAGTTCCCCGCGGGCTGCCACAGCTTACGAACCTCCTGGCAGCTTGGCTGCGGTGGCAGACTGGCTCACACACAGCATCTCTGGTGCGTATAATCGAGATACGCTGGAACTCAGGTCCCATGGAGAGTAACAAGATAGAGACTCGGTCTATGAGCTGACAGCCAGGCGTGAGCCCACAGGAAATCTGCCGGGGAGCCTTCTCTGGAAGACCCTAGAGGCTACAGGACAACTACTTTCCCCAGAGACTCGAGCCCACAGAAAGCCCACGGGGGGAGGAACACCACTGCGTCCTGTACAACCGATCCCAAGGTGCACGCAACAGCAATGGCACAGAGCACCCGGCCATTGGAGCCACTGAAACAAAGCAAACAGCCTACTGTTTGCACCTTACCGCCCAGCGATGACTCATGGGCCAAAGGACATGGCCCCAGAGTGGGGAACGAGGCAAAGTAAGCAGGGACTGAATCATGAGCTGGAGGCCGTGAACAAACACCCAAACTCCCCAGTGGTCCCAGACTCTTTGGGACCACCTGCTCTCTCCAAGCCCCCACCTCATCTCAGACATTCTGCCTGCACCTACGCTGCTGCTAAATGGACAACGGTAAGGTGACTGTCGCCCCAACACTTGGCTGTTTGGACCAGGGATGGTCCAGAGATGCAGGACTTCTGTGGACTGGCCTGCAGACAGGAATGAGGCCCACCAGACTGTCATTGTTTGGGGACCTCAACTGGGACCCAGAAAGAAGTTCTGGTGGGTACAGAAGGTCACGTGGCTGAGGCACGTGGGGCCTTATCGCATGCCTGGCATTTTCCCTGATTAAGTCAGGGACTTTTCACCACCGTCTCAGAGGGAGGTGATACAATAATAACCACCCTTCCTCGCAGGGCTGCAGTAAGGAGCTGGTGAGATCATGGGCCAATTGCTTTGCAGTGCTGGACCCACTGCAAGCTTCCTGCAGTGGTGATATGACATGACATCTTGTCCACAATCTGGGAGCTGGGATGCTGGAGTGGAGGGGACTCTCTTGACTTGGTGGGGTGCTCAGCCTACTCACGTGGCTTCCCCCAAGTCCCCTGTCACTTCTTCATCAGTGTTGCCTACCATCATCACAATCAGCCCCGTTTTCCAGATGAGGACACTGACAGACAGAAGTCCTCAGCCGTGGACTCATCAGCCTCACTTTACTGGTGGAAATGTTGACACTCGGGCAGAAACTTGCTTAAGCTCGCACAACCTTCTAGGGCTGGGCCTGCGTCTGACCCCCACTCTGTCCTGCTGCCGTCAATGTCCCCACCCATCTCTGGGCATGAGCTAGTGTGAATAGGTTTCTGTTCCCTGCCAAGTGACAAGAATAGTCTATCATTCAGGGTGCGGTGGCTCATGCCTGAAATCCTAGTGTCTGGGAGGCTGAGGCAGATGAATCACTTTGGGCCAGAAGTTTGAGACCAGCCTGAGCAACATAGCAAGACCCTGTCACTACCAAAAACTAAAAAATTAGCCAGGCATGGTGGCACATGGCTGTAGTCCTAGCTACTCAGGAGGCTACTCATGAGCTGGAGGCCATGAACAAACATCCAAACTCTCTAGTGGTCCCAGACTCTTTGAGACCACCTGCTCTCTTCAAGCCCCCACCCCTTCTCAGACATTCTGCCTGCACCTACGCTGCTGGTAAATGGACAACGGTAAGACGACTGTCGCCCCAACGCTTGGCTGTTTGGAGCAAAAGGATCGCATAAGCCCAGGGATTTAAGGCTGCAGTGAGCTATGATGACGCCATTGCACTCTAAGTGGGACAACAGAACAAGACCTTGCCTAAAATATAAAAAAAAAAATTTAATTATAAAATTAAAAAAAGAATAGTCTATCAGCCAGTTCAGAATTTCAATAGCTGAGCCATTGGTGGGCTCCAGTTACAGTTTCCTAAAACTAGGCCCAGAGAAGGAACATTTGTCTCCTAGGAAAACAAGAAAGCACCTAAGTTAGTCGGGCCGAGGCCTCTGACCCAGCAGTGCTCTGGGGGCAGTGACAGCAACAGAGCACTTCTCTGTGCCGGACACCATGCCAGCTACAGTGCACACCCATCCCAGGGGGCCAGCCAAGCTCAACCACACCCCCCCCACCTGCTCTAGCTAAAGAAAACAATAACAAACCACACACGAGTGTGCTCAACCGCGTGGAATGGTATGGAAACACCCACGACCAAAGGCAGGTCTGAACCAAGCTACTTCCTGATCCCCAGGCACCGTCTGCACAGGGTGCCAGGGCCTTCACAGATGGGAGCTCAGTTACCTTCTCCCACCTCTTAAGAGGCAAAATAATGGTCACTATTTATGGTCAACTTTTATATGACCAAGTTCAAGCCACTGGTGAGGGGACGACACAGGCCTGGGGACAGCCAGTTCAGCCCAACACCCGCTCTGCCAAGAACAGCTCAAGATACCCAGGTTCAGGGAGAGAAGGCAAGCCCTTCTCACTTCTGAATCTCAACAAGCCCCACCGTGTCCTGAGCCCCACGCCTCCAGGCTCCCATTCCTACCTGCGCGGGTGACTTGAACACTCCTGCTGGTTCTCAAAGCCACAGCTCTTACTGGAGGAAAAGAGTGGTCGGAAACACCCACCTGCTGGGCTGTAGGAGTCCACTCCACTGACGGGGAAGAGGATGTCAGAGTCACCGTGCAGCACGTGCAGCGGAGCCCAGCCGTGCATCTGGGAGAGGCAGGTGTTCCCATCCAGCGGCCTGCGGTGAAAGAAGACAGCTGTGTGACCTGAGGGCCCGCGACTCACCACAAGCATCTGCTGCAATCCACGAGTGCCCTCCTGCGAACTGACCAGGCCATGGCGTGGGCTGGGCGTCGGAGCTTGTACCCAGATCCAGACCTCCTGCATTCGTTCTTTCAACCAGTGTTTACTGAGCACCTACTATATTCCAGGCACTGTGCTCACCGCAGAGGGCGAAGAGCCAGCAGACTATTTATCCTGCCCTCGTGGAGCTGACAATCTAGCAGGGAGGGGCGGGAATGGACATGAATCAAATAATCTCGAGAGAAGGTATAAAACGGCAGCTCACATTCGGGGTCGACAGTAAGGTCAGGAAGGCTGCCTTGAAGGAGGAGGTGTGAGGAGAGAGCTGGAGGCAGCCCAGGCACCTGAGGGAAGAGGAGGAGCCAGAGAGAGGAAGGGGGCGGAACGGTGTGTGCGACCAGCTGAGACAGGAGGAAGCACCTGTGCTCCGGGTTCTGAAACGATGGCAGCCACCTGACCTGGGACCAGTGTGGCTGCACCTCACTGGTTCTCAGACTCTCGTGGGTAAAAGGACAGCATCAGACCAGGTCTGGACCGGGTCCCTTCCAAGAGACAGGCTCAGCTCAACTATTAACCAGGCTCATATGATCTGTTACACTGTCACCTTATTCACTAAGCACAAAACCAACACGCCTAATCTTTGTCACGCCAGGCTGGTTCAGCTGAGTTTGAGAGTATTTGCCCACTGCAGCATTTGCAATCAGGAAACACTAATAAATATCAATTTATATTTATGTAGTATAGTCATTCCTCAGTATCTGAGGGGGGTTGGTTTCAGGAGCCCCCAAATCCAAGGATGCTATAGTCCCTTATATAATATGGTGTATCGTTTGCATAAATCCTATGCACATCCTCCCGTGTATGTACTGTAAGTCATCTCTAGATTTCTTTTTTTTTTTTTTTTGAGACTGAGTCTCTGTTGCCCAGGCTAAAGTGCCGTGGCATCAGCCTACCTCACAGCAACCTCAAACTCCTGGGCTCAAGCAATCCTTCTGCCTCAGCCTCCCAAGTAGCTAGGACTACAGGCATGTACCATCATGCCCGGCTAATTTTTTCTATACATTTTTAGTTGTCTGACTGTTTCTATTTTTAGTAGAGATGGGGTCTCACTCTTGCTTAGGCTGGTCTCAAACTCTTGACCTTGAGCGATCCTCCTGCCTCGGCCACCCATAGTGCTAGGATTACAGGCATGAGCCACCACACCCAGCCAAGATTTCTTATAATACATAATACAATATAAATACCATGTAAATAGTTGTTATGCTATGTTTTTATTTGTATTATTTTTATTGTATTATTTTTTATTATTTATTTCAAATGTTTTTGAATCACCATTGGTTGAATCCACAGATGCAGAGAGCCAACTATACTTTTTTTTTTTGAGACAGAATCTGGCTCTGTCACCCAGGCCAGAGTGCAGTAGCATCATCATAGCTCACTGCAACCTCAAACTCCTAGGTTCAAGCAATCCCGAGTAGCTGGGACTACAAGCATGTGCCACTGCACTGGCTAAATTTTTCTATTTTTAGTAGAGACGGGGTCTTGTGCTCTTGCTCTGGCTGGTCTCAAACTCCTGAGCTCAAGCAATCTGCCCACCTCAGCCTCCCAGAGTGCTAGGATTACAGGCATGAGCAACCTTGCCAGGCCAGGTCAACTGTACTTTAAAGTCTATAAGAATCACCTTGTAAAGAAGACCAAAGCAGGCTGTAATCATACCTACTTAACAGAGGAAGGAAGGGGTGGTGGGGAAGAAGGAAAAGACAACTCAGAGATGATGTAGCTTGTCCAAGGTCAAGGTCATCAGCTGTAAGCAACAGAACCCAGGCTGTGGGACTGGAGCCCAGGTCCTCCAAATCCAATTACAATGGGTCACCCCTCTCCTGCCCGCCAAGTGACACTACTTAAACAGCTTTCCTTTATTTTACAGCAGGAAATAACACACTTTCTCTGTAGAAGAGCAGATAGTAAATATCACAGGCTTTGTGACACTCATCTTTGGTGGTATTGCTTTACAACTCTTTAAAACTGCAACAATTCATAGCTTGAGGGCAGATCTGGCCCCCAGGCATCTCCTGCCAGCTCCTCTTTTAGACGCTTGACAGGTAGGAGGACACCTTTCAGCCCTCTCCAGCTTGTGGTCAAGTGTTTGGCACCGAGGGAGAAACACAGGAGGAAATAATCCCAACAGAATCCTACAAAGTGTATCATTTAATCCCACAGGTAACGCTATGAGACTTCAGACAGCAGGCTGGGGGTGAAAGAGGGGCCACTCCCACCCATCCTGGCAGCAGAACCCCAACTTGGGCCAAGTCCCAGATGAACCCGCCTGTGCCTCTAGAATCTGTTCAGAGCTGTCCCCACCCCCCAGGCTCTGATCCAGCAGCTGGTGACCAAGGGGTAGACACCCAGAGGCACCAAAAGCAGCCAGTTCCTTCCCCGGCCACTCCACTTGCACCAGGCAGGTGGGATTTTCTGCTCGGTTCTGAGACAATTCTTGCCACTTCCCTGCAATACGTGGGATTGATTGCAAGGTGAAGCCAGGCCCCCAACAGGATGAGGTTGGGAACCCAAGAAAAAGTGGGCCCGAGGGCCACCCTCTCAAGATGAGTTAACATGAAAGAGATTCCTGAGGCAGAGTCAGCCTGAGTATACGGCGCCATGATTGGCAGGAAAACATGAGTGTTGCTTTTCATTAGGAAAATTAAGACACTTATTTCAAAAGCTACAAAATGCCAAAAAGAAAAGAAAAGAAAAACACACATAGCCACATTACCCAAGACACAACTGGGTCAGACACTGTCTCTTGAGGGTCTTTTTTCTTTCTTGCTGTGCACACTTTTCCTTACACAGTTATAATGAAACTAAACAGAACTGCAGTGGAATTTTATATCTTGTTTTTTCTTCATTAGCTCATCTTCATACCACTGGATACCTGTAGACTTTATTTGAGAGGTTTAAGATCCTAAGCACTAAGATGTTAAGTCTTAAACTACAGAATACTCTGCTGTGAACTGTCCCCCAGTGGTTGCAAATTTAGGTCAGCGCCAGTGTTTTGCTTCTCTGAATAAGGACTTTGGAATCCAGACATCGGCCACTTTTCCCTGCATTGAGGGTACATCCTCAGGGCAGATACTAAATCAAGTGGGGTAAACATCTACGGCTCCTGACATTGAGTCAGACTGTTTTCCCCCAGGGCCATTAACTGCTACCAGCTGACTACAGACAGGGCTAGGACAGCCCCTGTGCCCCACCCCGCCACCTCATTCATCACATAGGCACAAGGTGAGCCCCTACTGTGTGCCTGCAACTGAGGCACCACTGAGAGCAAGCCTACCCTTTCCAACAGGGCAGGAACCTGAGCTCTTGGCAAACATCGTGGGCAAAATATAGTGTCTTGTTTAACTTTGCATTTGCTTAACTGCTAGTGAGATGCAACATCTTTCCATATGTTTGTGATTCATTTTCAATTATGTTTCCCCCCGACTTCCCTACAAGTGTCATAGAGCGCACATAAAATGACAGAAAACCCCTGTCTACAACAAAGACACTATCCCTTTTGAAGAAAAACAAAAAGCAAAGCCAACACTTGTGATAAATATTGAGGTGGGAAGAACGAAATTTTTCCTCCGGCATCAAAGAAGTGGTTTAATCACCAGTAAACAGAGGAACAGGCCCAACTTTTGGCCAGCAGATGATCTTAAAGACAACAGGAGCACTGGACTTTGCCAGAGGCTACAGCAAACCCACAATGAGCTTCTCCTGGTCCTGGCCACATTGCCCTCACACACCTGCTGGGTGCCAGCCTCCTAGACCGTTCCTGTGAACATTAGCTTAGAATGAAAACCCAAGTATTACTCAGTAGGCCATCCCATTGTGCCTCTGCTCCTGGCCCAGGCTGCTCTGCAGAATGTTCAGTCAGGATCCCCCTTTATGCCGGGAGGGGCCGTCCACAGCCTGCAAGAGGCCCCGTGGCCTGGGAGGGCCCAGGCCCCTGTGAAGGTCACCCTGCACTGTTTGTGCTTTTACACATCACAATGCCAGCGGCTGCCTTGGCTCACACGCTGGCCTCACCCTCTGGGCTCCACTCCGAGGCACCAGCAGGGCAGGAAGAGGAATGACTGAGGCCAAAGAACCCACGGAGTGAGTCAACTCAGAGACGCACTCACCTGGAGATCCACAGGATGCAGGTGGCATTTCCGTAAGGCCCAGACTGAGAATCAGAGGCAGTTGTGATGGTTAATTGTATGTGTCAACTTAGCTGGGCCAAGGTACCTAGATACTTGGTCCAACATTACTCTAGATTTTTCGGTAAGGATATTTTTAGATGAGATTAACATTTAAATCAGTAGACTTTGAGTAAAGCAGATTGCCCTGCGTAATTTGGGTGGGGGGAGCTTCATCCAAGCAGTGGAAGGCCTCACTAGGGAAAAGACTGACCTCCGGAGAGGTAGCAGGCATTCTGCTAGCAGACTGCCCCTGCGTTTGAACCGCAACTCTTCCCTGAGTCTCCAGTCTGCCAGGCAACCCTGCAGATTTCGGACTTGCCAGTCTCCACAATCATGTGAGCCACTTCCTTAAAATAAAACAAAAGAGATAGACAGACAGACAGAAACAGAGACAGACAGTTAGAGATAGAGGGAGAGAGGGAGGCAGACAGAGACAGAGTGAGAGCAAGAGGGAGGGGGAGACACACACATCCACACCGCCCCCCCCCATTGGTTCTGTGTCTCGGGTGAGCCCTGACTAATACTGCAGGTCACAGGACTTGATTCCCAGGTATGAAAACATTCATATCTTATGAGTAAGAACAATGCTGCTGAAAAGCTTCCCTGCAAATTCAGTAGGAGAAAAAGGCTTGTGCATGAAAATGTTCATCTCAGAAAGTCTGATACAAAAAGCAAAAGCAATAAAACAACAACTAAATACTCAGCAATGGGGGGAAACCTTCTGCAAGTCATGGTATATTGATCCGGCCAAATAGCAACTATATCAGTCAGGGTTCTGCAGAGAAAGAACCAGTGCATGTGTGAATGGACAGATATAGAGATACACAGATATAGATTTCCAATGAGGAATTGGTTCACATGATTAAGGCGGCCGAGAAGTCCCGTGACCTGCAGTCTGCAAGCTGGAGACCCAGGAAAGCTGGTGGTGACATTCAGTCCAAGTCTGAAGCCTGAGAAATAGAAGAACAGAGGGTGTAAATCCCAGTCCAAGAGCAGGAGAAAACTGAGTCCCAGCTCAAGCTAGCAGGCGGTTTTTGTTCTACTCCTCTAGTTTTTGTTTTATTCAGGCCCTCAATGGATGGGATGAGGCCCACCCTCACTGGGGAGGGCAATGTATTAATGCTAAATATCACCAATTCAATGCTAACTTCGTCCAGAAACATCCTCCCAGATACACCCAGAAATAATGCCTACTCTGGGCATCCTGTGGCCTAGTCAAGGTGACACACAAAATAAACCATCACATCAACCAATTGACACTCATAGTTACTTAGAAACATGAAAAATATTTGACACTATAAGCTTTGGAGTACTGCACATCCAAACCCAAATCCCATTTTTGCCAATTGCTTTCACAAATCTCAACTCACTTTGGAATCTGTTCTTCCATCTGTAAAATGGGGGTAATACTGACAAACCTAATAGGTTGCTTTAAGAATTACAATAAGGTGTATGAAGTACGTTGCAGCATCTGGCACATCACAGATGATCAATAAGGTAATACTGGCTGGGCGCGGTGGCTCACGCCTATAATCCTAGCACTCTGGGAGGCCGAGGCTGGCAGATCTCTCAAGGTCAGGAGTTCGAAACCAGCCTGAGCAAGAGCAAGACCCCATCTCTACTAAAAATAGAAAGAAATTAATTGGCCAACTAAAAATATATAGAAAAAATTAGCCGGGCATGGTGGCGCATGCCTGTAGTCCCAGCTACTCAGGAGCCTGAGGCAGCAGAATCGCTTGAGCCCAGGAGTTAGAGGTTGCTGTGAGCTAGGCTGACACCACAGCACTCTAGCCTGGGCAACAGAGTGAGACTCTGTCTCAAAAAAAACAAAACAAAACAAAACAAAAAAAAACAAGGTAATACTATTCATGCAAGTATCCATGTGAATGAGGACTAGAGTAAACATAAAAACAAAAACAGGCATGGTCTCATCAGAAAGAAAAAAACCCTAAATATTAAAACATGAAAGCGCAAAACTTAGGATAGAGACATACCACAGCCTTAATAATATCATGAGATTTTAGGCTTGCAGGAAGACACATTTCTGTGTATTCATTTTATACTTTAATGGACTGGATTTTGAAGTAGCCATGATTAGAACAACACTGTGCACACTAGACAATAAGTGAAGAGGTAACTAGCTTATCTGGCAATAAGACTAACCATAAAAATTATTGTAAGAGTAATATAACACAGCAGCAGCTGACCTTATTGTCTAACTCAGTATCCCAGCACCTGTGACAAAGGCCTCACTCACAATATCTCATTAGGTCGACAATCCTACAAAGCAGGTCCTGCTACTCTCACAGGTCTCAAAGAACGCTAGAGGCTCTGGAAGGTGAAGTAAAAGTAATTCATCCAACCTAGTCCAACTCGAGGCACACAGTGAATAAATGAGAACCCAGGTTGTCCTTTTTTTCTTTTTTTGGAGACAGAGTCTTCCTCTGTCATCCCAGCTGAAGTGTACTGTCGTCATCTTAGCTCACTGTAAACTCAAACTCCTGGGTTCCAGCCATCCTCCTGCCCCAGCCTCCCAAGTAGCTGGGGCTACAAGCATGCACTAACCACACCCAGCTAATTTTTCTAATTTTTTTTTTTTTATAGATATGAAGTCTCACTCTTGCCCAGGCTGGTCTTGAACTCCTGGCCTCAAGCGATCCTCCTGCCTTGGCCTCCCAGAGTGCTAGGATCACAGGCTTGAGCCACCGCACCCAGGCCTGGTTGTCTGGATTCTAAGGTTCAAGCTCTTTACTATGCTTCCAGCCTTCATGTGCATCAAGCCCCTTCCACAGGGTTAAATCTATAGCAATCCCAGTGTTAAGGCAACAAGTGCAGCAAGTTACTGCTATTCATATATCCCTGCAGATAAATGCAGAAATTACCAGCCCATGACCATTCTCTAGACCAGTGGTCCCCAACATTTTTGGCACCAGGGACCAGTTTCATGGAAGATGATTTTTCCACAGATGGGGAGGGGGAGCTCGGGGAGTGAGGTGAGAGTGAGTAGGCAGAGCTCAGGCAGTGATGCAAGCAATGCGGAGCAGCTATAGCTCAGTTCCTAACAGGCCATAGACCGGTCCGCGGCCTGGGGGTTGGGTGCCACAGTTCTAGACTAAACCTTTCTTAGTCCTGAGCTTCCTATGCTGGTGCCAAGTTAGAGATGTGGGGAAAATCCAGTCAATAAAAACAAAAGGCACAGGTATAAAGCAAGAATTTCAAGGCACACATCCAACATTCACTTTGTAATATACTCCCTTCCCCTCTCTTAGTTCTTAGGGGAAAACCACCTAACACTCCTTCCTCCTAAATAAAGACTTGAAGAATGAATAATGCCCTGAGCAAATACAAAACCTGCACAATTATTTGGCCCAATACTGTAGAAAGAGAAAACAGTTAACCTCCTTCATTAAAAGCTAGAGTGGAACTTACTTCTCAGGCGACTCTGAATGGCCCATGCGCTTCCTTCCCGACGAGTTCCCATACATGTCATCTTCATTTTCATCCACATCTTCATCGTCGATGCTTTTCACATCGAGCTTCTGGTACCCACACTCCCCATTCAAAGACAGAGAATCAATTTTCCATGAGTTGCTGCTCTGACTTCCGTTGGAATTTGGCCCGAAGGGGCTCTCAAAGGTCGACATGATATTGACAGAGGAGCGGTCAGAGTTTTCCTCCGAGCTCTCCCCTGCTCCAGGTACCTTTTTGAAAACATCCCCAGAGTTCTGCTCATCTTCCTCATCATCAAACGAAATGATGTTGGTCACCTTCTTTTTCTTCTTCCGCTCCTTTTTACATTTGGCATCTGGACAAAAAAGGATATGGTGTAAGGAAAAAACGAGCAAAACAAAAGAATGATGGAGCCAACTCCCCTCTAGGTTACAGTAAAGATTACTCTGCTGAGAAACACACTGTAAGACAAAGTCAGATTTTTTTTTTAAATCCTGAAAAAAATCTGTCTACAGATGACTGGGGAAAATGGACATACACTTCTTCCTTTGACTTATAGAAACACATCAGAGCATATGTTAAAACCGCTCCTTCTAAGCAGTCACTTTGATTCGAAGGATGCTGCCATTTCTAAAATGATCTCCATGATTTCACTTTGGAAAATAGTCCCACGGCTGGCAGGTGAGACCAGGAAAACCAGTTAGGGTGTTGCAGTCAATTGTGTGACAGTCAGGAATTCCTTCCTTCCCTGTGTGATACCCCTTCTCAATGGGTGCCTGCTGCTCCTCCCACGGGGAGGTGCTGTCTATCTCTGTACCCCTTGAATGTGGCTGGCTTAGTGCTCTGCTTTTACCAAAAGAATGTGCCAGAAATAACTGTGAGTTCTAGAACCGAAGAGTCGAGAAGTCTCACTGCTCTGCCTTCGCCCTCTTAGACTGCTGTTTTGACACTGCTACGTGAAGAAGCCAGTCCAGCTTCCCGGAGGGTGAGCGGTCATGGGTAGAACTGAACTGTCCCAGCACAATTCCAACAGGAGATAGATCTTGCATCTCAGCCACCAGCTGAAGGCAGCCCCGTGAGTGAGCCCAAGGGAAACCAGTGGAACCACCATGCCAACCCACAGGATCATTAAAAAAAAAAGAAGAAGAAGAAGAAAGAACCATGGTGGCTTTAAGCCATTACATTTTTTTTTGAGTCATTTATTACACAGCAAAGGCAAACTGAAACAGAAATCAAGACTGCCTTAGTGAACAGTGCTGAGATGAGCCTCTTTCTTCACCTATATATCCAACCCTCATATCTACCCACCCTCATATCCAAGTTTAATCATCAAACTTGGATATGAGACACTTTGAGCCAGGAGTCCTCAAACTTTTTAAACAGGAGGCCAGTTCACTGTCCCTCAGACCGTTGGAGAGTACTGCACACATTCCACACATGCAGACTGTGGGCCCGGGATGAGTCGGCTGCTAAGCAGGACAGGCAGCAGCTGCAAAAACACCTAATAGGCTGGATAAATGTCCTCGGCAGGCCGCATGTGGCCCGCGGGCCGTAGTTTAAGGACCCCTGCTTTGAGCCAATGCCCAAAAATCCAATCCAAGTTGTGATGTGGTGACACCGCACCAATGTGCCCCAACTCGGAGACGATTTCAGAAGCAAAGTTGCAAAAATGGGTGGGACAGACACTCCTATGGGCATAAAATTTTTAGTCTGGGTCACACAAAGCCCTCAAGAGTCCTGTTTCCTACATCATTCACTGAGTCTCTGCTGGAGGAGGAGAGGGCAAGGGAAACAAAGTCATGGTGCACCAAAGAACCCATGGATTCCAAGTTTTCACCACCAGTAAATGCAGAGGGATGGCCAGGACTCCTGCCTTACTGGGGATATTGGAGAATACCAGGACTAAGCACCTAAACCCAAAATTTGCAATTGTGCTGCAGCAACATCCTAATGTCCCAGAAGCCTCAAGGAGTATTATAAACTTCCTGCAATATTAATCTCAACTGAATCAACTTTCTTTGGCCTCCCCATAGCCTAGAATCAAAGCTGATGAATTCCTCCCTTCCCCCAGACCTCCCCTTAAATGTCATCCCCCTGACAAAGGCAAGCCCAATGGTACACATCCTCCATAGCACCACATGCTTGGTTTCATCCCATATATCCCAAGGATAATAAATTATTTATATAACATGTCACTAACTGCCCACCCCTACCCTTCCCAAAGGATACTGTGGGCTAAGTGCTGGCAATCTGTCTTTGTTCTTCCACTCTCTGCCTAGCACAGAGAACTCAACAAATGAACAAATGTATGAATGGATGAAGGAATAAATGAGTGAGGATTAACCTCATCTGGCTTCCTGGGATTCTCACACCTTCGCCTTCAGTTTGCTGTGACTGACCTGTTCATTGTTCCACCCCCAATCTTCACATATAGGCAAGGCCGTCAGCCCCTTCTAGAGTGAATGAGGGTAAGAAAAATACACAAAAATGTGTACTCAAAATGCAAGTGCATCCGATTTCATTCCCCTTGGAGTGGCTTTCGGACGACAAGGCGTATCCACCTTAGCCACACTCTGCTATCCTTATCCTTTTCATGGCCCTGTTCCACCTGAGTGCTCGTTCTTGCTCACCGGCACTGACGTTCTTGGACACGACAGGCAGGGGGTCGGTCTCCTGTTCGGGTCTGATGAGGATGGAGACCGCAGAGGAGGCTGTGATCTCCCTGAAAAGGCTGCTCACTCCTTGCGTGGACTCCTTCAGCAAGGAGGTCACGTTCTGCGTTGACTCCTTCAGGAGGTCCGAGACGGTGGGGGCAAACTTACTCTGTCCATTTAAATCCTTGTTGTCGATGTTAATCGCAAAGAGGATAGAGTTCAGACCTGCCCAAAAAAGGGAAAAGTCTGGAGTGTTTGCTGCTGAGCGGTCATACCACCAACACGAAAAACAAGCTGCAGACGATACAGCAACCAAGAGGACACACACGGATCTTGAACATTCATAAAAACCTTCGACAAAACTGGGGTCCACAGACACTAGCTATCGTGGGACTTGAGTCTCTCCAGATTCTCTCCCTAACAGCCAGGAAGACAAATACAAATAAGTCAACCAGGAGGAGAGAAAAGCACAGGTTCTGAGGTCAGGCTGCCTGGGGTTGAATCCCTGCGCTGCCACTTTCTAGCTACAAGATCTTGGTCAAGCAATTTCTAATCTCTCTGAGCTTCAGGTTCATAATCATCTCCCTCACGGGGCTGTAAGTATCAAACACAGTCACCCACCAAACACACTCAGCTCGGTAAGCAGCAAAAATGTGCATCGATTGCTTCATCATGAATACTTTAGGCAAAACTTACGGCCTACAAAGGAAATTATGGTCAAATCCTGACTTTTCCCCATCAATGGACAAGACTAACATAACCCTAGATATGTGGGACTTAGTGTAAACTTTCATGGGAAAAAAGGAGGCAGCGAAGAACTTGGAAGAAAGAAGCAAGTTCCCCTCTACTGTCCAGTTGATTCCATCTCTCTCTCTGACTGAGAGTCAAACAGCAAACAATTCAATCCACCTGCAAAGCCACAACCAAACACCTTCAACGTCATGCTTTCTCTGCCACGGTGTCAAATTCTAGATGAAGGGACCCAACACTCAATGCCAGTAAAGGAAGGATGGTGACAGAGAAAATTGCAGCATCCTGTGGGGTCATAAATCCACTCCAAGGCAGCCCCCTCCCCTTGCCAAGCTTCACAAGGCCCATCACCGCTGGCCTTGGCCAGGCTTACCAGCTGCCATGGTAGGAAGCATGCTAGACCTTTCTTCATCCATCACAAAAGACCAGTCTTCATAAAAAGCACTGCAAATTGAAAGAGAAGAGAAAACAGTTCTTAATAGTGGTTCCCTGCATCCACTAACCAGGCAGTTCCATTAGATGGGTCCCTGGAAGAGCCATGCCTGGTCGTTCCAGAAGGGACATGGTATATCTGAGGTCCCTGTTTATGAAGTTTGTAGTTATAACAAGAGGATTGAACACGTACATCCTATGACTTCCTCACTGGTCCACTGACACCCCAAGCTTTAGAGTACTAAAATACACATGATATGTAAATGCATTTATTAAGCAGCAAAGTAGAAAAAGACAGACAGAGAGGTCTGTCCTTTTACTCAAGCAACATCCCCAGGAGACAGACAGGAAATCCAAGTTGGCCAAAAATGCCTGCCTGATCCAGCTAATAGAAGAAAAAATAATTTCAGAAAGAAATTACAGAGCTCCATGGCTCTGTCAAGCAGGGCATTTACATACAATACCTGCTTGGGCTACCGACCCGAAAGCCCCAGTTATCCCTAGAAAGGACTGGGAAGCTAAAAGGCCCCATAAATATAAATGAGAGTTGGGATAGGGGTCAGGGAAGCCAATATGGCCTGTCCAAGGGCATCTGGCCAATAAATGGTACAGCCAGGCCTTAAAATCACATCTCCTGAGTCCAATGTCCAAGCTCTTTATATGATTCCCTATTAAGCAACAGCAACCAAATATACTCGATGCTGTGACTTCCCCACCAGGCCATGGAATTCTAAATCAACGGAGTCAGTCAGTGATGGGTGATGTAGTTCAGTAAGGACCTGGAAAAATGAGCTACTGAAGTGACTGAATACACCAACAGAAAGACAGAAAAGACATATTTTCAATATACTTACTCAGAAAATCTTAGTGGAAGCCCAAACCACATGTTCAGGCTGACATTTCAACTGTACCTCTGATTTCCAAAAACTGTGATCCTTTAAAAAGTCTGAGCCAGTTTTCATGCATGTAAATGAATTTGGTTTCACCATATCGAGTTAGGTTAAGTGCTTAATGATTCATGTAAGGTCAAATGTTTTGTTTTGTTTTGTTTTGTTTTGTTTTGTTTTGTTTTGTTTTGTTTTGTTTTGTTTGTTTAGAGACTGTCTTGCTCTGCTGCCCAGGCTGAAGTGCAATGCAGTCATCATAGCTTACTGCAGCCACAAACTCCAAGGCTCAAGTAATCTTCCTTCCTCAGCCCCTCAAGTAGCTGGGACTACAGGCACATACCACCATGCCCAGCTAATTTTTCTATTTTTTGTAGACATGTGGGGGTCTCACTATGTTGCCCAGGCTGGTCTCTAACTCCTGGCCTCAAGTAATCCTCTCACCTTGGCCTCCCAGAGTGCTAGGATTACAGGTTTGAGCCACAGCACCCAGCCCAACTATGATTCTTAATTGCTGGATTCACTTCAACTTCTCATTGTTAAATTTAACTTTGAGCTGAGTATGTAACGCTGAACTACCTGCAAATGATCTGCTGGAAAGAGCTTCATAAAAATTCATTTTAAGAAACATGAGTATGTCAGCAGAAACTCTGCAGGCAAAAACAAAACAAAACAAGAGTTGTTCCCCTTAACTAAAGCTGGTTAATGCTCTGAAGGTACAGACGTTTTCAGCCCCCCAACTCTGACCCTGAGCAGCACACACAGGTGCAGTCAGCATCCATCGTCCTGGCTCCTCAGCCCTCTCATTTCAGACCCACAGAGTGTTACCATTCAGGTGGGCGAGGTGTCACAGGCAACACCAGTGGGAGAACTTCAAGGCCATTTCTAAGGATCGTAGTGCACAATCCTAGAACACCTAAGAAATCACTGGTAGAGAGGGGAGTACAGCAGCAGAAGAGGGGACCTGAGCTAGGGAACAGGTCGCAAGATAAGAAATCAAGGGAACACATCACGGTACTAATGAGTCACCACCTTCATGAACTAAATGGAATTTCACTGTTGAAGATCTGGGTGTTGCTGATGTGGAAGTCATTCAAGGAAACAGGGCAGGATCAATCACTGTCCCTCTGTATCACCAGGGGACAAAAAACAACATGTCTAGTCCACCATTCTCAGAGAGAAAATACTATTAACAGCCAGAGCCAGAGAAAAAGATATCAGAGACATCATGAGTACAGGAAAAACAACAGAAAAAACATGCCAACACGTTTGCAGAGTTACCTCGGTATAAATAATGAGTGATTTCAGTTTGTACCCCAGTGGATTTTACAGCATTTCTTAATGGTTTTAAGGAAATGTGGTTGTTTATACCTCCACTGACTCATATTCAGTATCCTCTCCCTGTCACTGTGGAGTAACTGTTACATGTCCCCATCCTGCTGATCTCAAGGGTGACAATGTGACTTGCACTGGCCAATGAAACCACTGCAAGTGTCTCTGTGGACAGAAGATCTAAGAGCCAGTGTGTAGTTCAACTACATCTCCTTTTCCCACCTGTGCAATCATGAAACCACATGTAGAGATGGAGCCCCCAGTCACCTGAGTCCCTGAGATGAGAATGTCCCTGCTCACCCATGACAGACATGTAGCACGAGAGGAAGAAATAAACGTGGTTGTCAAAAGCCACTGAGGGCTGGGCGTGGTGGCTCATGCCTGTAATCCTAGCACTTTGGGAGGCCCAGGCGGGAGGATTGCTCGAGGTCAAGAGTTCGAAACCAGCCTGAGCAAGAGTGAGACCCCCGACTCTACTAAAAATAGAAAGAAATTAATTGACCAACTAAAATATATATATATATATATATACACAAAAAACTAGCCAGGCATGGTGGCACATGCCTGTAGTCCCAGCTACTCGGGAGGCTGAAGCAGGAGGATCACTTAAGCCCAGGAGATTGAGGTTGCTGTGAGGTAGGCTGACGTCACGGCACTCACTCTAACCTGGGCAACAAAGTGAGACTCTGTCTCAAAAAAAAAAAAAAAACAAGCCACTGAGGATTTTATGGTGTTCATTATTGCAGCATAACCTGACCTCTGCTAACTGATAGAGTGAACTTCACAATCAAGAAAAAAATAATAGAAGGAAGTTTTAATAAAAACAAATGACTCCTTTCCTCAACTTAAAACTTCCATATTTTTTCAATCAGTTCGGGATTGACTGAATAAATGAACCCCCAAATTAAAATTCCACAAAGTGAAGGACAACTGTGTCCTAAGACAACAGCTCTCTCCACACCCAAGCCTTAATGATAATAAACACTGATTTGAGTGCTGGCTGCATACAGGCGCCATGCTGAGCTTTTCATTCATTCTCCCACCAAGCACCCCCACAGTACAGCTGAACACACTGGGGCTGTAAGAGGGACCCCACTGCCCCCAGGTGGAAGGACTTGGACACAAACCCAGACAGTCTGGCTCCAGATTCCTCAATCTTCACCCCTCAGCTGAGCCGCCCCCCAGGACCCATCCCAGGCCGGGTACCTGAGCCTGCAGCGGTCGGCCAGGAGCATGTGCAGGTAGCGCTCCAGGGAGTGTTCGTTGAGGGCGCAGCGCAGCCAGGCGCGGCCACGGCCCACGTCGGAGGAGATGTGGCGCAGGGAGTAGAAGCGCTGCAGCTCGTGCTTGTTGAGCACCTCCTTCACGTAGTACCAGAACACGGGCTCTGTAGAGAGAGGGGACGGGGCTGCGTCACCCGGCCTGTGACGCTTGTCATTTTTAGAGTAACGGTCCCTCGGCAATTTTTTAGATTGGAAAGGGATATTTCCTTAGCACAGAAAAGGTTAGAGATATACAAGAGCTTAGCAAAAATAAAAATGACCCTAAAACCTCTCATTCGGAAATGACCAATGTCAACATTTTCAAGAATTTCCTTCCAGGCTTTTTTACTGCACTTTTCTTTTTTACAAAATCAACATTTGTAGTAGGTTGAATTATGACCCTCGAAGATACCCATGTCCTAATCTCTGGAACCTGTGACTGTTACCCTACATGGTAAAAGGGTCTGTGCAACTGCGATTAGTCAAGGGTCTGGAAACTGGGAGACTGTCCTGGATCATCCCAGTGGGGCTGATGTAATCACAGGTATCGTTACCTGTTACGGAGGCAGACAGAGGTTTGACATAGAAGAGGAAAAGATGATGTGAGCAGGGAACCAACAATTAGAGTGATGTGGCCACACCCAAGGATGGGTGTGCTGGCAGCCCCCCACCACCACCACCAGGCTGGAAGAGGCAAGGAACAGATTCTGCCCTGGAGCCCCCAGGAGGAACCAGCCCTGCTATCATCCTGACTTTAGCCCAGCGGAACCGATTTTGGACTTCTGGCCTCCAAAACTATAGCAGAATAAATCCATGCTGTTTAAAAGCCACCAATTTTGTATTAATTTGTTACAGCAGCCATAAGAAAAGAATACATCAGAAAGGAAGGGCAAAATGGCGGACGAGAAAAACTGCCAGCCACAGTGTCTCTGCAAGAAAGATAGACTTTAGAAAAAAGTCAAATAAATAAATAAATAAATAAACAGGCAAACAAACATAGATTGGATAAGGGTCGGAAGGGAGGATGCCTGAAATTACAGGAGACTCCAGGGGAAGAAGTTGTGGAGGAAAAGTGGAAGGAGAAAAGCCCCCGAGAGGCTTGGAGACCAGCGACAAGGGCAATTAGTTCCCTATTCATGGGCCATCAGTGTTATGAAGAGGTGCCATCTCAGAAGATCTAGACCTCATTCTCTTCCCGCCTATGCTGAGGTGGATTGCAAACAGTGACTTTCCCACTCAAGAAGGTCGTCGTGAGGACAACCAGATGAAGACAGCATGGTTTCCACAAGCCCCACAGAGCCAACTCTGTAGCAATGGTTTGGTTACATTTCCTTTAATAGATACACTCATAAAATCTTCTAAATGAAAGTAGTTCCTTTCAAATAAAAAAAAAGAAAAAGAAAAAGAAAAAGAAAATAATACATCACATTGTATCAGTGTATATGCATATATATATAATTTTGTATCCTGATTCATTTATTCTTATCTAGATGATGAACATTTTCCTATTGCAATTAAGTCTTTGAAACACAATTTTTGATGGCTTCCTAGTGAAACATAATTTAATATCTCTCTACTACTGAGGACATGATACATTGCCAATTTTCCCTCTATACAGCAAGGAGCATCCTTATACATAAATAATCATCCCAATGTTTAGTTCCTTAGGAAAGATTGCCATACACTGAATTACTAGGTCTGAAGATAGAGACTGGGTCAAAGCTTCAAGGGAAACCTAAGAAAGTTTGTTTTTCTCCATAAGACAGTCATTCCTACAACTACCTGTATCTCCTCACATCCCACCTTTTGTTACTCACATGCACACAGATATTTTTCAAAGTTGTAACTCTAGAATGTATCTAATTTTGTGATCAATTTTCTTCATTTAACGTTAGCTCATCAACACTTTTTCATGTTGCCAATAACAGCAGCAAGAGCAGCCACTATTGAGCATTAACTATGCAGCAGTCCTTGCAGTGAACACTTTACATCTGATCTCGTAACAACCAAGGCCATCTCCATGTCTAAGACCAGGTCCGAGGTCTGGACGAGTGAAGGAACTCACCCAGATAACATGGTTAGTAAGTGCTGCGTCAGGAAGGGGCCTCAGAGCTCACTGCAAACCACTAAATCACACTGCCTTGTGAAAAGAGGAGACTCTACCATCTTCAAAATGATTGTGTTCACAACTGCTTAGTAATATTCTAAAGGGGGAAACACTGAGTTTCTGCTGCCAGAACTGGCTTCCAATCCAGGAGCTAAATAGGCTCAAAGACCCCTCTGAAATGTGACATTCTTTGAATTTGCCTTCCTGGAGGATGCAAATACACATGTCTCCAGAAACTGGACAGCAAGTTAGTACCTTCACTCTAATGTTTCAGTTCAACTTAGTAAGGACGGATTGTACTCTTCCCGTGAGTCATGAACTGAGCCAGGCTAGGCGCCACCAGGCAGAAACAAGGACTCACCCCTAAGGGGCTTCCAGTCTATTGTGCAGGACAAACGGGTGAGGAGATCATTCAGCTAAATGACCCTGGGCAAGTCATTCAACCATGCTAAGCCTCAGATTCCTCTCCCATAAAATAAACACAGAAGTACAGAGTCACCCAGGGCTACCAGGGTAACAGCCCAGCCACCATCTGCTTAGTCAGTACCTGCTTAGCAGAGGGCATTTGTGTGGCTTCCCCTTTTCCCTTTTGTGTTAACAGCATCTAAATGCACATGTGCGTACAGGAGGATGCATATGTATTTGTGGATCAAGCCAATCTATGGGATCATTTAGAATAAACGTCCCAAGAATGACAGAAAACTACACCAATAGGGCAGGCCAGTCAGGACTATCTTCTGTCTCAATCCCTAAATGTCAAACTACTCCCAAATTCATCAGATCACTCCAAACCACACAGCTGTACAAAACAGCCTTCTTTCCACTCTCTGCCTCTCTCAGAAACCAAGGGGGGGGGGGGGGGGGGGTATTTGCCAACAGCAATGCCCTGGGCCAGCCAGCCAATAATGCGTTTTGAAATGCCCGGACAGCCATCTGTATATCCATCACGTTTAAAATCAAGTGACTCTCACCTGCACCACGTCTTTCTTGAGAAATGCATTCACCTCCCTCTGACCTTGAATGCACGTGAACACTTTATGGTATGTTTTCACCTTTCAATTTTGCAAATTGCTTACTGCTACAGAATCCTTTTAAAGCTTGTCAGAACGATGTTGATGATGATAAGAATTATCCCAGTAGGGTTCTACTTCCACTGCCAGAATTAATGTGGTCTATTTAAAGTGCAGCTCACCTGCCAATTAGCACATGCAGTGTCCGTAATTTAATCTGGGAATATATACTGATCTGCTTTCAGACATGAGGTTAATTCCAAAATCGGGCAAGGGCTTTGCATTCTCTCAACACCTGAAAGCCAAGTGCCAACAAGAGCAAGAGCCAGGAAGGGGGTGTTGAGGAGAGCTGCCATAGGGTACTTGTTAATAGAGGAGAACTAATAGCACCAGGCTTTGGGCAAAGTTTCTATCAAGCCTCAACTTTCACTGATGCCAAGAATTCATACCCTGGAGACCACAAGAAAGACAAAAACCTTGGTGCAAAGTCTAGTTTAGGCATTATGTAACCTTGGGCAATTTATTTTGTCCTCTATTTTCCTCATCTGTGAAATGGGGATAACAGTACCTACTTCGAAGGATTGCTATGATGAAAAAATGTGAAATAAGAATACATGTAAAGTGTATCCAATAAATGCAGTCAATAAATGTTAGCCATAATTATTAACACACCTGGCATATAATCGGCACTCAATGAAAAACAGCTGTTAACATCATTACTACACTTGCACCAGAAGCCCAGGCACTAAGGCAGGCAAACAGCATCCTTTTTCCTTTCTTCCAGCACACGCATTCGTACGGGAAATGTGTTCCACTGGTTCCTTGGGAAGTGAGCTGTGTCCAGCACTGCCCTCACTCTCCCTCCCACTGGGCTGGGCAGGTAACCCAGTCTGGGCAGTTACCTGGACACAGCAGGGCATCTTCAATTTTGCTTTTTTAAATACTGACAGAAAATATTAGTTATCTTGATTGCCAAGTCTGACATCCCCTCAAATCTTGTGGCCAACGTGAGCTTCTCACCGACCTCACATTAGTCCCAGCCCTGGACCACAGGGTTCTCCCTGCAACTTCCACCTGCAGGGCGAACAGAGAGGCCTTCTCTCCTTCAGGAACTGAGGTCAGCAAACTGCGGCCTGAGGGTCAATTCGCCAGCAACCTTTTTTGTAAATAGTTTTCCTGGAACACAGCCACACCCATTTGCTCACTTACTGTCCTCGGCTGCTTTCCTGTTGCAAGGGCTGAGCTGAGCAGTTGTGATGGACATCAGATGGCCCACAAAGTCTGAAATCCCTTAAGGAAGGCATTTCTAGAAGAGCTCTAATAAACATGTAAACCTGGAGTTACCTGGGGCTATTTTCCCCTACCACATGGAGACCTCACCTGGAAAAACATCAAACCACAGAGAAGCAGCTGTGTGGAGAGAGAGAAAAAGACAGATCTGCAGGAACACTGGGCCCCTGAATCCACCTCAACTCCTAGATGAGTTCCTAGTTACAGAGTCAGTAAGTGCCCCCCACTTTTTTTTATGAGTCTATAGGATTTTCTGTCATTTGCAACCAGAAGACATCTAACGCAGTGAGAAGGGTATGTTCTTCAACCACCTGTGGAGCACCAAGAACACCTGTCCCCCAGAGCCACAGTGGGGGTCTGGCTCATCAGTGTGACAGCATTGCCCCAAAACAAAGCCTTGCTCAACAAGAAACAGAAAACCCAACTACAACCACACAAGCCCAGTTCCTGGTACACAAAGATGGGCTTCCTCTTCCACATGATGAGTCTGGAGGTACGCAGTCGGTTCAAAGGCTGTGTCTGGCCCGAATCTCCAACCTCTCGACCTCACTGTCACACAGGATTGTCCCAAACTGGGCATCACATTCACAGTGGGAGCAGGAAGAAGTGGGACAGGATAAAGCCAGCTCTATCACCCCTTTATCAGGAAACAGTAAGGTTTTCCTCAGAAAACCGCAAGGGAGCAGAGACAAAGTGGAGAACAGAAGTCAAGACTGGC